AAGCCAGTTTTTCTGTAAAATATCACTCTGTTTTGGTTTGTCGCTCTCTTTTTTATTTTTATTTATTTATTTAATTTTTTGGCAAGTAGATTTGGGCTGCAGTTCCACCAAAATATCATAAAAGCAGTGCTGGGTTCTCTCAATGCGTCCTACAAGGTGGTACACCGTTTTGATTTGTCTGCTTGATTAAATGATGTCTGCCAGTTTCTCTATTGCGAAATTCACCTATATGGGCCTACAGTTTCCTGTGTTGTTCAGTGGATTTTACCACTGTTAGCATTATTTGGTGACCAAGTTGTTCCCGATGTGGCCAGCAGCTCCTTGGAGTGGGTGTTGTGGGCCTATGGCCATTATTCTATGGGCACTTTCTGGTATAAGACATTCCAGGCACATTTTGTAGGCTTCCTACCTTAGTTCAGAAATAAGTCATTTTTCCAAGGAGAACTTGAACAGAACTTGAGAAAAGAATCCAAAAATGCATTTGGAACCAGAAGAGACCTAGAATAGCAAAAACCATTCTAGGCAACAGAGACATGGCAAGGGGTATCACAATCCCCAACTTGAAACTATACTACAAGGCCACTGTGATAAAAGCAGCATGGTACTGGCAAAGAAACAGACCTAAGGATCAATGGAATAGATTAGAAGATGCAGAAACAATTCCAGATATACTCAGCTACCTCATCCTTGACAAAAGAGCCAATCATCCTCAGTGGAGGAAAGATAGCCTTTTTAATAAATGGTGGAAAAACTGGCTTTCAACTTGCCAAATATTAAAACTAGATCCCTATCTTTCACCATGCACTAAACTAAAATCCAAATGGATTAAAGATCTAAAAATCAAAACAGAAACACTAAACCTGCTGGTAAGTAAATTAGGTAGAACTCTCGAAGACATTGGCATAGGAGAAGACTTTATAAACAAATCCTCAGCAGCACAAGAACTTGCACAAAGAATAAACAACTGGGATCTCATTGTATTAAAAAGTTTTTGCAGTGCAAAAGAAACCACCAACAGAGCTAAGAGACAACCTATAAAGTGGGGAAAAAATTTTACCAGCTACTCCTCAAAGGACTACTATCTACAATATATAAAGAACTCAAAAAATCAGACACCCAAATACAAAGACTCTATTCAAAAATGTGCCTCTGAAATGAACAGACATTTCTGTGACAAAGAAATAAAAGCAGCAAATAAATATATGAAAAAACATTCAACATCACTGGTCATTCAGAGATACAGATGAAAACAACACTAAGATTCCACCTCACCCCAAAAAGAATGGCTGTTATCAAAAAATCAACCAATAACAAATGCTGGTGGGGGTGTGGGGAGAAAGAAACCCTTCTCCATCGTTGGTGGGAGTGCAGACTGGTGCACCACTGTGGAAATTAATGTGGAGATAGCTCAAAGAGCTGGAACTAGAGGTTCCATTTGACCCAGCTATCCCTTTGCTGGGTATCTTTCCAAAAGTATCATACCACAGTGATATATGTGCACCCATGTTTATAGTGGCACTGTTTGTAATAGCTAAAACTTGGAAACAGCCCAAATGCCCATCAACTGGAGACTGGATAAAGACAAAATGTGGTTTTTCTATAAAATGGACTACTACTCAGCCATAAAGAATGATAAACTAGAAACATCTATAGCTAAATGGATGCACATTGAGGCAATACTCTTAAGTGAAATAAATAGGACACACTTGAATAAATACCAAATAGTTTCTCTGGTGTGAAAAACTAAAAGTGTAAATAAGGTTCAAATGGTATAACTGAGGTGTGAAATAGGAAGAAAATGGCTAAAAGGGAAGTGGGAAAGGGTAGGGGAAAGGAAATAAGGGAAAAGAAAAAATAAGAGAAAAGGAAAAAATGGAAACAAAGTCTTTGTAAATAGGGGAGTGTGGAGGGGGTGAAGGCAGGGCAGTGGTATGAGGAAAAAATAAGAACAAAGACCTGGGGTGTAAAGGTACAAGATCCCAATGATGAATGTAACTGTACTGTATACCTAAAGTGTACCAATAAACTTAATGAAAAAAAATAAAGTGACAATTTGAAAGCTCAGTGTACCAGCAGCCCTTGGGTGCCATGCTTTCAAGCCCTCTGAGAAGAGTTTAGGACTGTCTGCCTATGTGTGTGTGCACTTCCATGTCTCTTTCTACGTCAGTTTATGTATATTGAAACCCACGAGTCACACCCCCGCCTCTGATTCCAATACAACATTGCAGGGCCCCTTCTGTCTGTCCTGGGTGGGTTTGAGTTGGGTTCTCTTCCCCCTGTCTGAATTTGCACATCTCCTCTCCGCCCCGTGTAATGTCACCTTGGGAATGAATTGTTCAGTAGGAGAAGAGGATGACAGACTGCAGGGTGACTCTGACGGTTATTGCCAAGTTGCTCTCCATAAAGATGGTCCAATGTACACTTCCGCTAATCTTAAGTCTTTTCTTTTGCCAATCTGATAGGTGAAAAATATTATTTCTGATGTCTTGATTCTATCATTATAAAATAGCTTGAATGCTATAAAAAAAAAAATAAAAACACTCGACAAGGAAAGAACGTCAGAGTTGGGTGTATCTACTCTCCCTCATTAAAAGGGTCAACTCAGAAAGAACACTGGAATAGCCACGTGGCTGTTGCTTGCAGAAACTTCAAGTAGCAGTGTCCCTTCTGTCATCTGCCCCAGTGGGCAAGAACCTTGACCTGTACTGGAGACCTGAGTGAGTCCTAAAATTTCCAACAATGTTCTCTGCAGTCAGGAGGAAGGCACTGGCCAGTTGTGAACAGAAAGAGCCACACTCAGTGCTGTTTTAGCAAAGAACAGACCCCAACAGGACGATTCTTTGCAGTTGACGATTTTGATGTTTCTTTCCCAGGATTAAAATTATTGAGCGTAGTCTAACCCAAGGAAAGCATTCCTAGTCTGAGCAGATCTTAATTGTGTATTAGGTGGAAACTGGACATAATGGGCCTTTAAAAAAAATTAGCAATTTCTTGGGACTCCTAGTTTTAGATATTGCTACTTTTGCTCCTGTAGGTTTCAGTGCCCAGAAAAGTCCTCTTTTTCTTACTTCACCTCACAGGCCCTCGCTAACTTCTTTATCAATAAAATTGAAGCACATTTCATCCTCTAAGACCCAAACCAAGTGACACCTTCCCAAAAGGCTCTTTGTTCACCCCAAAAGAAATGAACTACTCTTCATTCCCCTGGTACTTGGCTGTCAGTACAGCTCTGTTTTTTTTTTATGTTTTAAGATCTGCTTTAAGTTTTAGGCAACTGTTTATCTTTCTTCCCTATTAGACTGCAAATACTTTGAAGGAAGACAATTTTAGAACCAGGCTTTGTGCTTTGTGTAATCTCAGATAGGCAGTTTGCCAAATGCATTGACAAATAAACAGATCAAAGAAAAATGATTAGATTCACAATCTAATGAAACTGTGCAGTGTCTGAGAGAGAAGCCAGGCAAGTCCTCCAGCTGGAGATCCTGAGGTGAGGCAGGAAGCCCCGGGAATACAGAGCACCCTCCGGAGCAACCCCTCACATTCCACAGAGAAGCCCAGAAGGTGCTCAGGAGCTGCCTGTGCTTGTGCCCTGAATTTGCCAGGGCTCAGAACTCATCCTAAGCTGGGGTGCAGCTGAGCACCCAGGACTAGGGAGTTGCTCTAAATAGGTTGGTATCTTGGCTTTGGGAACTCCTTGGTAGGTAGGACAGGGTCAGGTGCTGGAGAGGATACTTCCAGGAGTAGGGACCACAGAGCCAGGGAAGAAAGGCAGGGCATAGAAGAGGTGAACAAAAGAGCAGTGTGGGGTCGAGAATTCAGGGTGGCACGCTGGATTCAAAGCCCAATTTGGGTGACTGTCCATCACCTATGTGGTCTTGGGCTGGAACCTCTCTGAGCTTTCTTCACCTATAAAATGGGGCATGGGGGAGGTAGGGTGAGGTGGTGGTGGCGGTGGCGGTCTGTATTTCAGAATGGCTGAGTTCACTGAATAAAATACTGTCTTTGAGGCAACTTACCCAGTCTGAGAGCCTTGTAAGTGCTCAACAAACATCAGGGAAGGACGGGGAGAGGAGGTGGCAGATGCCCTATGACACTCATCCCCTTACACCACAATCCTGGATCACCGTCCTTCTGGGGATACAACTGCAGTGGCCCCTCTTCAGTCCAAGGCAAGAGGAAGCGAAGAGGGCATTTCCTTTCAGCTAGCTTGGCACTCCTAGAGTGCAGGTTCTCCAGCCCTGCCTTTGGCTTCCAGAGCAGAAGCGACAGCCTCGGCTCCCTCCCTTCCTGCCCTCCTGGAGCAGCAAATCTGCCCCTCGGACAGCTCCCTCCACCCAGGGCCTTCTCTCCCTAGTCCAGGCTGCAGATAAGCCACAGATCCAAGCCAGAGCGCAATCTGGGAAGAGAGAAGCATAAAAAATCAAAGTATTGGTCAGGTATTGGACTCTGGAAGGCCTTCTCCCCACGCCAGGGCTCTTCTTGCTGCCCTTGTCAGAAAACAACCAGCAGGGAGTAGAAACATTAGAGGTAGTCTGAGTCTCTGCTGAGAGTGCTTCTTGGAACTTGCCCAAGGAGTCATCCTTGAGTGTCCTTCCAGCCCTTCCAGTCTCCCAGCGAACAACGGGAGCAGGTACTCAGGATGCAGAGGGAAGCTGGGTTGGAAGAGAGGATGGAAAGCCCAGTAAAGAGTGGGCTTGCTGAGGGTGTGGGACACACACTAAGCCTGGACAAGTGGCCTAGAGTTTCAGCCCAGCTCTGGCTCTAACTGGCCCTGTGGCTGTGGGCAACCAGCAGGTAGCCGAGCACCTCAGTGTTCTGTCAAAGTGGACATTTTACAAATGATGACTGAGGGTTTGTGGTTGTCTTTCCTGCTCTGAACCCTGAAGGAACCTCAGGTGCATTTGGAGGAAGAAAACGAAGTCCTGGAAGCCACTGGAGAGCTAGCCATCGGCTGTGGTTTCAACCAGTTGCTTTTGTTCTTGCATCGTGAGGAAACCGACATGGTGTGGGCAGTGTTCTTCGAAGCAGATATTAAAACACTGGCCTATGACAGTCGTGGATCAATCCCAGTGTCTATCCCTCCGGAGCTGTGTGGCCTCATGACGCAGCTGTGCTTCACAATTTTGAGCCTGTTTCTCCATCTGCATGATATCCACAGTGCAGCTTCCAGGACTCGAGGAGCCACCACAGGCCGGCTGCCTCGGAGCATGCCTGGTGCCCACCACTCACTTGTGATGCTGCCAACTCCCCTGCTGTCAGCTTCCCTAAAAGCACCCACATCACGCCTCCCTGAGATCCTGTTCGCCTGTCCCTCCCGCCCACTGAATGGCCGGCAGCACCCACTGCTGCTCCAGCTTCTCCCAAGAGTAGCAGAACCCCACCCTTGTTTTCAGTCACCTTCACTGCCTTCTTCCCCAGGCCCTTCGTGTTTGGGGAGCCATCACCACAGTCCTTTATCTCCTCCCTTTTGCTCCAGAATTCTGCTCTTTCCATGAATATCATCCAAAGCGCTGCTCCTGTGAACTCAAACACCCCATGACAGGGAAGTCTGTCTGAGTGGCTTTGAGTCTCCCTTTGTTCTTGTTCCCTTCACCCAAGCAACCCCCACTCATATCTTGTTAAGCTTTGGTGACGTCTCATTTTCTAAAGCCAAACCAACCTCAGCTAATTTTCCCAAGAAGTTTTCTCAAGACAGTAACAACGTTTTCTGAACATCCAAGTCCAAAACATGTTCTCCCTTTGCCAAGTAGAAATGAAAATCTGTCAGGAAAACTTTGTTAGTGATCAGAAACTGACCTAAGACCGAGGGGTAATAGCTTCCTGATTCTTGGAAGCTTTTTTTTTTTTTTTTCCAGTACCAGGGATCGAACTCAGGACCTTGCACTTGCCAGGCAGGCATGAAGCCACTGAGCTAAATCCCCGGCCCTGGAAGCTTGTAAGTTTTGCACAGACACACACAAGTCACTGAAGCCACTGGGAAAGAGCTAGTGGTCAGCTCTGTGTATATGTGGGGGGCATCACTTTAAACTAGGAAGGAAAAATCACTCTTCACTTTCCACCTCAAACTTAGCCTTATTCACGATACTTAAGATACCTTCTTTATGAAGAGTAACCAAACATTTAAAAAACTTCAAGAGAAATGAAAGAAAAAGTGCTTCTGAGGTTGTAAGAAAATGAAGACTTTGCCAATGGCAGTACATATAGAAATATGTTTAAAAAATCTTAGTGGAAGTGGCCATCCAAGTGTCAAGGGTAGGAGGAAAGGGGCAGGATAAAAGCACTAAGAAGTTGATGTAACTATTACAACAGATATGTAAAATAAAGACTGAGACATAGTCAGTCATTAAGGTGCATCTCTTTTGATCCAGCAGTTTTATTTTTAGTACTTTATCCTAATAATTTACAACGTTTTTGGTAACTCAAAGTTCCAATTACCATTATTATATACATTAAAAATGATGTAGATGGCGGAATAGATTGGAAGATACAAAAACAACTCTAGATGTACTCAACTACCTCATCTTTGACAAAGGAGCCAACCATCCTCAGTGGAGGAAAGACAGCCTCTTCATCAAATGGTGTTGGAAAAACTGGGTCTCAACCTGCCAAAGATTAAAACTAGACCCTTATCTTTCACCATGCACAAGCTAAAATCCAAGTGAATTAAAGATCTAAATATTAAAAAAGAGATAATAAATCTGCTGGAAAATAAGTTAGGCAGAACTCTTGAAGATATTGGCGCAGGAAAAGACTATGAACAAATCCTCAGTAGCACAGGAACTAGTGCAAAGAATCAACAACTGGGATCTCATCTTATTAAAAAGCTTCTGCACTGCAAAAGAAACCATCAACAGAACTAAGACAACCTACAATATGGGGGAAAAAAATTTTACCAGCTGCTCCTCAGACAAAGGACTATTATCTAGAATATATAAAGAACTTAAAAAAATCAGGCCCACCAAATATAAAGACCCGATTCAAAACTGGGCATCTGAAATGAACAGACATTTCTCAGAAAAAGAAGTAAAAGCAGCAAGTAAACATATGAAAAAACACTCAACATCACTGGTCATTTGAAAGATGCAGATGAAAATAACACTGACATTCCACCTCACCCCACAAAGAATGGCTGCTATCAAAAAGTCAATGAATAACAAATGCTGGTGGGGTGTGGGGAGAAAGGAACCCTTCTCCATCGTTGATGGGAGTGCAGACTGGTGCAACAATGTGGAAATCAATATGAAGATACCTCAAAGAGCTGAGACTAGAGGTTCCATCTGACCCAGCTATTCCTCTGCTAGGTATCTTTCCAAAAGTATCATACCACAGTGATACATGCTCACCCATGTTTATAGTGGCACAGTTCATAATAGCTAAAGCTTGGAAACTGCCCATTTGCCCATCAGTTGGAGACTGGATAAAGAAGATGTGGATTCTATAAAATGGAATACTACTCAGCCATAAAGAATGAGAAATTAGAGTCATTCATAGGAAAATGGATGCATGTTGAGGATATACTCCTAAGTGAAATAAATAAGTCACACATGTGTAAATATCGAATAGTTTCTCTGGTGTGAAAAACGTATGATCCTAATGGTATAAATGACCATGAGAAATAGGGCTAAAGGTGTAGGGGAAGTGGAAAGGGAAGGGGAAAGGCAATAAGGTAAAAAGAAAAAAAACATGAGACATGAAAAAATGGAAATACAGTATTTCTAAATAGGGAAGGGAGGAGGGGGTAAAGGGCAGGCAGGGGTAAGGGGAAAAAGGAGAACCAAGACCTGTCACGTAAAGGTACAAGATCCCAACAATGAATGTAACTGTACTGTGTACCTAAAATGTGCCAATAAACTCAATGAGAAAAAAATGATGCAGATGATTACTTTATGCGTGTAATATACTGCAAAGGTTGTAAAAATGTACACAAAACATTATTAGAAAATGATCTAAGAAGAAAACACAGGCATGTAGGGCTGTAGGTACATTACCAGGAAGTGCTGCCATGGCGATTTAATTTGCCTTCTAGATTATCTCGGATGAGTGTGTATCACTCTTGTGTATTGAAGGGTTCTCATGTAGTCTAGAAGAGAGGCATCTTCCAGAGCTACCACTTCTGTTGTCCTCTGCAGGTCCGCACTTTCCAGGGTCGGAGGTGGGGGTTTGGCAGCAGGTCAGAAGCGTCTACCTCTCTCCCCACACAGTTCACACCTGAGCCACAACTTGGGGCAGCCCCTTGCCCCAGTGGCACTGTAGGTTTTGAGGGCTTTGCTACCTTTGCCCATCCTCCCGTCATCCAGAGGAAGGCAGAATGGCCCCAGATGGCCCGTGCGGACGGCCGGCATTCCTTACCTCTGCCTGCACCTGTTTCCGGTGTCAGAAGACACATCTGTCACTGAAATAGTCTGATGAGGTCTACTGCTTCGAGAACTTATCTTGGTTTTTTTCTCCTTCCCCAGGTACTGGGGACTGAACCTAGGGCTTTCACACTGAGATACATCCCCAGCCCTTTGAGACAGGGTCTCCCAAAGTTGCTGAATTGCCCCGGCTGGGCTGCCTCAGCCTCCTAGAGGGCTGGTACTGTAGGCAGTGGGCTGTGCCCCATTTTTTAAAGAGATTATTATCCTAGTGGAAGGTATAACATTTCCTTGCCTAAAATTAAAGTTATTTCTCCACTTGAAGCTCGCTGGTTAGCACAGACTCAAAGGCAAGAATGGGGGCCATCTGGAAGGGCCACGTGAGGGAGGTGGAGAGGAAGGCAGTGCTGTCCCAGTGAGACCTCGCTTTGAGTGGAACCCTGGCTCAACCACGAGGAAGCCACTTGGCGTCCCTGTACCCGTTTCGTTGTATTTGGCACGTGGCCACAGGCAACAAGGGCACCTGGGGAGCTGCTGTGCACCTGCCACAAATTTATGTACGATGGGCTTAGAACTGTGCCCGTTCCACGTTAAGTACTTAGTACGATCGGCTATTTTACAGCCGTTTTGGAAGTTGATAAAGAGCTCACCCCTTTTACCCTCCTTGCCACGGACAGCAGTGATGTCTGTGCAGACCCAGCTTTTTCCTCCCACACCCACTTACCAACCATTGATGCTGTTAACACCCCCACCGAACCTACCAACTTCCCTCCATCTCTACTCTGCCATCACCCCAGCAGAAATCACCTCAGATAGAGCCAGGGACTGGCGTGGTCTCTCATCCTATATAGTGCGTCTTATACCTGTTAACCCCTTCTTCAAAAGCAGACAGAAAGAACCCCCTTCTCCCTCCAAACGGCCTGTATCTTCCTGAGCTGTCACTGAAAGCCACCATGGTGCTGCTTACTGCCTCCAGGGCGCGGTGCCAACGTGCCTGCTGGACTGGTGAGGCCCCGTGCTCTAGTCGAGTGACAGCAAACCGTTTAGGGTTGCAGTGATAAACAGCCTGTTGTAGCGCACGTGCCACAGGATCCCCACCGCTGCTCTAGTCCCTGCTTCCCTCCCCATGGCTCATTCTGAGCTGATTTCCCCTTAGCCCTGCTACCTTCAGTACTAGGGACTGAACCCAGGGCCTTCACATTGAGCTAATTCCCTTTCCTTAAAAAAAAAAAAAAAAAAAAAAAAAAATCTCTCAAGAGGGTCTTGTTGAGTCACTAAGTTTCCCCAGCTGGGCTCAAAATTGTAATCCTCCTGCCTCAGCCTCCCACAGTGCTAGGATTATAGGCATGCACTAAACTACCACACCCCACTCCTGGTTTCTTAAACTGAACGTGCTCCCTGTGCGTCTACGGAAGGGTAGTATCCTGACACTTACCTTGCTGAATGGCTCTTTACTTCACAGCTTCAAAGCCATTCCATCCCAGAAACCTGCTCTGCCTGGCCCTGCACCTCACCCATCCCCACGCACAGTCCCGGCGCCTCTGCGCTTCTCTCACCTCCCAGCACGCGTGACCTTCTGGGCAGACCTACCACAGTCTACCACACTGCAGAATCCCACCTTGAGCACAGGAGCTGCACTCTGAGCTCCTAAACGGGAGATTTCCTTCAATAAAGGGTTCCTGCAGAAATGTTCTAAAAGGATCACATCTTCCACATTCGTAAGAATTTTTTATTATTATTATTTAGAAATGCAGTTATATACACAGAACAATTAAAATTAAATTAAACTTTGTACAAATATTAAAATACTATCTTCACACCCACTGCAATGTACAGGATACCAAAAAATATATATATAAAATAAAATAGAGCAAACCCAAACTGATTTGAGTGACATCCTGCACAGAGTCAATTACGCGTGTGTTGTTATAAACCATTACACGAGTACCATTCTACAGAAGATCCCCTAGTGGTGTGACAACCTTAAGAATCCAGGGCAGGTGCGGGTGCTGTCAGGCGACCCCAGACCATCTCTCCTCCCCGCTTGGCAATCCAATCTGAGTGCTTTGCCCTGCATCCCTGCCACAAGCCGGGCTGCTTGGCAGAAGGCTCAATACTGGGGGTTTTGTTCAAAATTCTACTAGGGTTTCAAGGAAATTGAGACACTTCCCAGCAAAGCTGGACTGCCACCTTTCCCTCTCAGGGAAACAGCTTCTCCAAGATTCAGCCCAAACATCTGCCAAGCAAAATATTCTCCAAGCCCTGCAGGAGACACAGCCAACCCCATGAGAGAAGCTCCCAGCTCGCTATCCTTGGCAAGCACATCTGGACTTACTGTGACAGTGACAGGTATGTGCCACTTCCTTTTTAGCCCCTTTTTGCTCTTTGAGGGGGGGAATGGAGAGGAAGCAAGGATCAAGAAATGCTCGTAGCATATACCATTCTCTGTGCAAGAACATTTCCACAGATGGAGGCAACAATGTTATGCAGTAAGCGAGTGGTTTGGGAGCAAAAGGGCTGGGAGCCATCTATCCGTGTGTGACTACTCATGAAGCGGGAAAAATATACCTTTGTCTGTCTTGTTGCCTGGCTTCTCCACAGAATTTTAAAGCTGGGGATAGGAGGAGAAGGGCAAGGTGAATGGGGAAGGTAATATTAGTTTTAAGTTCTCTTTTGCTAATGGAGTGCTTGTAGAATGTACACTGAAATGTCTCATAAAACTGAACAAACTCACACAGTGGCCAGGACCCAGCCATTTCACAGTTCACACCCAGTGAAACACAGCACATAAAATACAGAAATGGCAAAAGACAAAGCCTGCCTGCTAAACTAAGGCATGGGAGGGGTATACATGTTAAGTGACTTTCACCATATTCTGGCTGTTTGAAGTTGCTAGAATGTCACAAGGATAAAAAACTTGCATTGAGCCAGCTCAAGGGTAGAAAATTAAAAAAAAAAAAAAAAAAAAAGAGGAAAACTATCCTTTCTAAAAGTCCTTTGGTGCTAACCACTTGTGCACAGGTCTTCCGCAGTGCAGGCATCCCTTGGAGGTGAGCCCAGGCAAGCAGGGCAGCTGCGGCTACAGCCCCTTCCCACCGGCTCCAGGTCATGGGCAGGCTCCTTCCTAACAGCCTGCCACCTGCCCTCTGCTCTGACTCTAACCAGGCCCCACATGGAGGCAGCTGTAGAGTCCTCAATCTCTTTACAAGGGACAGAACTCAGAAGCCCCAGGAAGAGCAGCATGTGGCTGAAGATGAAGAATTTGCCTTGTGAGAAAGGGAGCTTGTGAAAGGAGCCAAGGCGCAACGTGAGCCGACCTGCAAGCACCTGCACGCCCAGGAGCCTCTGACAGGACTTCCTCTAAGTCAGTGACAACAGGCCAGTGCGCTTGTTCCAACTTCTTACTCTCCTAACAGGTAGGCAGGCCTGGGCTTGTGAGGCCCAGAGCAGTGCTAATGAGTGGTGAGGAAAGAGGAGGTATCAGGACAATAAACCTGAAACAAAAAGTATCTCTGAGGGGACAAAAACTCAGAGTAACTACGGAGAAAAGGGTGGGCCCTTCTATTTTTTTAAAAAATTCTAGAATAGAATTCAGGTTTTGGAAGCGTGAAAAATAAAAGCTGAGAGTGAGACTTGAGCCCCGCCTCCCCGTTTCTCACCTTTGCTCTCTGGAGGGAGACAGGGCACTGCTGCGCATCGAAGAGGGTCTGCATATTAAGGCAGCTGGGGCTTTAGGACTCCTACTGGGTGTCCTGTGGCAGCAAATGCTGAGACGTGTGCCTCACCTCCCTCAGGCTTCAGCCCTTCAATTCTGGCACCTTATCCAATCCATTCCCTACCTTGGACTTTGCTTGCCTGGACTTTGAGCACAGCAGATGGGGCTTCTGGGTGGGGGATGTGGAGCGGCCAGCAGGCACAGCAGGCACTGCCCTTACCCTGAGAGGAGAGAAGATGAGGGGCAGCAGGAGGCCAGGCATGACCCGGGAGTAAAGTGCGTTGTGAGAGTGGAGGCAGGGGCTGGTGGGTTGGAAGAAGCCCATTCCCCCATCTTCAGGCCACCCACACCTGGGGCTAACCCTGTTAGGTCAGGTCCTGAACCGGGCTTATTATTTTTACCACACCGGAGATGCTGAGGAGCAAGGTGCAGCAGAGTCAGCTCTGAGGTTTCCCAGCCCCAGGGTTTCAGGGGAAAAAAAAAAAAAAAAAAACAGCAAAAGCAAACATTCCTGAATGCCACGTCTGTCACCTGAAGAAGGTGGCAGCCTGGTGGAGCTTGCTGCTCAGCCTTCCTACACTCACCACAGGCCCAGAGAAGCCCTGGGAGAAGTGCCCGGAGTGCCCCGGCATCACCACGGCTCCCTCCAGTGTCTACACCCAGGCCTCAGTCTAAAGGGGCCTGGGAGCCAGGCCGCCGGGCACTCACTTGCCCACTTCAGCCAGTAAGGCGAGGGGTGCTGTGAACCATTTCTCAGCTCCTTCCCCAGAAGGCAGGGAAGACAGGAATGGCTTGTCAGCCATAACATGTACAGGGGCACCGGGAAGGGCACAAGTAGGAAAAGCAGAGGTGCAGTAGGCAGCAGGCCACTTCCCAGGCACAGTTACTAAGGCACATGACCGCGGTGAGGAGGATCCTCAGGACCGGGCTGGAGCTGCCTGCAGCTGCCCGGGGACTTGATCTGTGCCTCTCAGCCTCCCCTCCATCACCACAAACCCAGAAAGTGGCAACTTTCCCGGCCTGCCAGTGACCAGATGAGTGTTGATGGCATCATAAGAAACTCCTGGGATGATGTGCCTTGGGCCCTGTGGGCAGCAAGGAAGCCAGGGCTGCCTGGGCCAAAGCCCAGGAGGCAGCATGCAACTCCCTTTATCCAGGGAACAGAAAGACCAAGGCCAAGGCGCAATGCTGGAAGCAGGAAGTGAGAGCTTGCATATTAGGAAGACAATTTATCAGCCACCTTCTTTCCCTCCCTCAGAATCTTCTGAATGCTTCTTGGAAACTCTCAACAGGACCAGGAGCCTGCACCTGAGCTGGAGAGCCAGATGCTAGGATGGCTTTGGCATGATTTTCCAAATTCTTCACTGTCATCAGAGAAAATGTGTCAGCAGTGTCAACCCAGGGACCCACAGTCTGCCCCAAAGAAAGCCACCTGTGCCTCAAAGGCTCTCACTCTTGGCTCTGCTCCTGTGAGGGGAGGTGGTGCCAGCCACAGGCCCAGCCTCTGCATGCAGGGGCAGCAGCCACCAAGGCTGTGGACAGCTACACACCTGCACTGCAGGGACCTGGATAGGTTGGGGGAAGGCACAAGTAAACACAGCGGTGCTCAGCCACACACGGGCTGTGGGGCTGCCACCAGAGAGCTGGCTGGAAGGGACTCAGAGGCTTGGGGATAGGAGGGTTCAATCCAGCACATTCAAATACATCCCAATATACGGGAAGGCTGGGCCAGGCAAAGAGCCAGTTGCTCCAGCTGTCCAGGCAGATGGCGAGAATCTTCCTTGAGTTTCCAGTGAGATGGCCTGCAGGCCCTCACAGACACTGACACACAGGTGGCAGCTCAGATATCCGGGTGGGGTAGCTGGAGTACAGGGTGCTCAAACCCACAGGGAGTGGGAAGAAGGGCGGAGAAGACCCTCACAGAGAGGAGAGAGGCCGGCAGCAGCAGCCCTCATGCTTCTTTCAACAGTGGGATATCTGTGGGAAGACAGGAAGGGCAAGCACAGTGGTTACCCAGAGGGGCCTCCCCACGGCACTTCTGATCCTGCTGCAGGACCCAGTGCAGAGAAACACAGTGCCCACTCATACATGTTTAGGGAGTCAAAGACTCCTGCCTTTTAGGCCTTTCTAGCTCTTTCCCTTCTGTGTGATAAGATCTGAACACTCAGCCTGTTATTTAAACCTTTTCTGACCCCACCAACACAAACCTCTCTTCACTCTGCTGGTCTAGCCACTTCCATTTCTCTCCTAGCCACTCCCCCACGAGGCCACAAAGCCCTGGTTAAGTTCCACCTTCTCAAAGCCATCTGCCAGCTGTGTGACACTGGACGAATCACTTCCGCTGTCTGGGTTTCAGTCTTCTCATATGTCACTGGGGGATGGGCTAGGGTTAGACACATGCTCCTGACTTCCTCTCAAGTCCCAGTCAGCTCAGGCATGGCCTGCCACAAACTCACTAAATTATCTGTATTGCTTTCTGAGCCCCTTATTTCAGTGTGAACTCTACAAGTCCAGCTTCCATTATAGGATTTCTCCAGTATGGGTCCCATCATCTTCCAAATGACAAGACAGTCCATGCAGGAGACAGCACCTTTCCTTTCTGTGTCACTCCTGAAACCTCCTTCAGCTCCAACATAGGCTGGGCTGTCAAAGATGCTTGTTCATTACAAGGAACAAAGCAAGGCAGCCAGGAAGAGGAGGACACACACCTGGCCTCTTACAGAGTATAAGGGCTACTATTTGTTCCTACGCATGTCTTAAAACACATGGCACCAACAGTCCAGGGGTCACTGGTTTGCACACCCAACCTAGGGCAACTATTCAGGGGTCCCTTGTTATTTCTCCAGCCAACTGAGAAAAAGAAGGCAAATTATGATTTGTATTTATGAATTTCCAACTTTTAGAAGTTTACTGTGTCCAGGATACCCAGGAGGCAGAAGTTCCTTCTGGGCTCTTTTAGGGACACTCAAAGTGCAAAAGGCACCACTGTCAAAAGGGAAGCTTCTAGGTTTAGTCTGTGTCCTGAACTGCACTGAGATTTCACTTCAAGATATTTTTTAAAGTGACAGAGCCAAGCCAGGTGAAACTCTCCAGGCTCCAACAAAGGCAGAAGTGTCACTCTATGGCCAGTTCATAACACATGAATTGGAGTCCCCTGGGAGGCAGCATAGCACTGCAGGTTTTGAAACCCGAGTCATCATTTCAAATCCCAGCTCATTCATTTACCAGTGGGCAAATGACTTGCCCTCTTTGGGCCTGTTTCCCTGTTTCCCTAAACAGAGACAGTAACAAACAGCCACCACTCGAGATCACTGTGAGGATGAACTGAGAGTACAAAGAAACTAATGAGTATAGTGATTGACACAGCCCTGCTTGGAATGTTGCAGCTAGTCTGGTTAGAAGGGGAAAGAGCTCCTGTTCTCTCCGTAACACAGCCCAGGTCTCCTTGTCATTCCTGACCTTTCAGGAACATAAAATTTGTAAGTATAGGATAGCCCAACCACCACTCAACTGTCCATCTTTTACTTAGCACTGTCCTGTGGCCATGAATAGTGTCCAAGACTCCAAACTCTCAATATTTACAAACAGTGAAAAGTCTCTCCCCTGCAAACCCAAGGGCCTACCTGGTGCTCTGAAGGTGAAACCCTATTCTGTAGGCCAATCTCCCAGGTATTGTGTTTCTTTGCCAAAAGTGCACCAACTATTAGAAAGACCCGCCATCCTTCCTCACTCCCAGCAAGGACTCCACATAGCTAACAATCCTGTTCATCACAGACTACCTACCATCCGTGTACTCCTCTGATGTGAGGGATAAAAGGCTTTGTATGTCGCTGTTCTCCGAATCTGTGGCTTCTTTGTGTGCAGGCCGACTGCCCCCTGAGCCAGCCACCCAGGAAGAGGTGGCCGCCTGATGCACCATCACAGTCTCTGAGCCCCGGGAGCCCCAGGCTTCACACAGTCCCGACTGGCCAGGGGCCTCCTCTTCACCACCCGAAGAGGAGCAAGCCCCCTGGCTCTGGTGCTCCCTTGGCAGGCTCCTCCCACTGGGCCCAGCTCCTTCTGACAGCACAATGGGCACTCTGGGGTCTGCAGGTGGCATGCAGTGACCGGAACTGCCATACACAGCCTCCTCATATGAAGGGAGTGCAACCTGCACTCCATCCACCATAATGGAGACTTGGTCCCCAGATACCCCCTGGTCACGCCTGGATGGGAGAAAAAGGCAAAGAGACAATCAGAATGAGCACACAGATAAATAAATACCACCATATCAACAAAAGCCACTTTTTCTTCTCTCCCTCTAGGACTGAAGCTCACCCCAGGCCTTCACATATCCCAGCCTCTCTTTCATTTTTCATTATGAGAAAGGGCCTGGGTTGCTAAATTGCCCAGATTGGGCTCAAACTTGTGATCCTCCTGCCTAGGCCTTCCAGGCTGCTGAGATTACAGGCATGGGCCACTACCACCAGCTAAAAGCCATCATTTTGAACACTTAACTGTGTTCCAGGCCCAGAACTAAGTGCTTTAAACACTTTTCCACACTGAATCCTCACCTGGCTTTCAGATAAGGATTCAGCGAAAACACAGATGAGGCCCAGAAGTGAAGTAACTGCCACAGTCACAGAGCAGGTGAGGGGTGGGCCTAGGACTCAAATCCAGTTCCAGCCGCTTCCAGACACTATGCTCTTAACTTGTGGGTACACAGGCACCGGGCTTCTGCGCAAACACTAAGAGCCTAGAGACCTAGAAATGGAATGATCCATTCTTCTCAGCTAGGGTGAAAAAACAAGAGAGGTGGCGGCATACACCACAAATATGCTAAAAAACCACTTCACTGTGAACTTCCAATGGGACTTCTGTGAGCTATATGAATTGTGTTTCCACAGAGCTGTTAGACAAAGGAGGAAGAGAGAGGCAGGCGGCACACTATGGTCCTGAAATAGGATTCTGGGCTGGAAGTCACATGAATTTGTGTTCTTCTTCATCACTTTGCTTGAAACTTCATAAATTTTTTAAAAAACTATGCGAATTATTATAGAAGTACAGTCAAAAATATACAGATGAATCGACATACAGCTCACTGGTTTGCTCCAAGTGACACTGGTGTGAGACTCCTAACCAGGTCAGGAATCACACTGCTCCACACTGACACCACCTTGAGCCTGTTGCATCACTCCTGCTCCTCACGACCACAAGTGACTACTGTGCCGACCTGCACGGAATCCACTCCTTTTGCTTTGTGTTCTAACAGTTTTACTACCTCAACATGAATGCTTTAATGCCCCAGTTTAGTCCTGCACATTTCTGATCTACATATATGAATGAGATACATAATAAACGTGTGCATGTCAATAGAGCACACATCGCTGCTTCCTTTATTCCTCATGTAAGGTTTAGTCCCCCACACACGTTTTGGGGATCCTTTGTGTTACACACCTTTCTTTGTGAGCCACGTGAAAGCAGGGTTAAGATGCTATGTAGATGTTTCTCCTCAGCATTTCTACTCCTATAACCCCAGCCTCCTTACATCCCAGAGATGTAACATTACAACCTATGCTATAATTCAAGTTTCCAAAACCAGCCCAAAATGTATTCACAGTCTTTGTTTTCATCCAAGATCCAATAAAGGATAAAGCAATGCATTTAGCTGTCCAGTCCCTTTCATTTCTGTTCATCACTAAAGTGTTTATGTTTTTTGGGGGTTTTTTCTTTGTTTGTTTGGTTGGTTGGTGTTTTGAGACAGGGTCTCACTATGTAGTTGAGACTGACCCGGAACTATGTAGCCCAGGCTGGTCTCTAACTTACAGTGATCCTCCTGCCTCAGCCTCCCAAGTGCTGAGATTACAGGAGTGCGCCACCATGCCCGACTAAGTTTTTCTTTTATGACACTGGCATTTTCAGAAGACTCCAGGCCAGCTGTGGGATGCCCCACAATCTGGAAGCATTTAACTGTTCCGTCAGGATTGGATTCAGGTCAATTTTTGCCAAGAATACTACACAGGTGATGCTGTGTCCTGTCAGCATGTCACACCAGGGCACATATAAGTCTACTTCCACACCACACTACTGTTGGTCAACTGCTGTTCATAATTCTTGCTGGGTGTAGTGATGCATGTCTGTAATTCCAGCCCTGGAGAGGCTGAGGCAGGAGGACTGGCACAAGTTCAAAGCTATCCTGGACTACATAGTGAGACTGTCTTGAAAAAAAAAAAAATCAAAAAACAAAAAAACTTTCAAGTTCCATATCTATACTTAAGAGATAAAAATCTGTGCTACCTAATATAAATAATGTGCATACTGTGAAGATGAAAGAGTAGTACCATTAAAAAGTACTTAGCGGCTTTGGGAAAGAAGAGAAACATTGACAAGGTAGCAGAGAAAGCAGTGTATATACTGGCATGTGCTTACTTTCTGTTATAAAAAAAAACTGTTGTTTTAAAAAGTAATAGATATACATGGTACAAAATTTAAGTGGGATCTATAATGAAAATTAATCTCCCTTCTACTAGAGTCAGGCAAAAAAGAATCAGCTGGTTACTTTTAACAGACTTTAGTTACCTGCAGGGGAAATAAAACTCCCTCACCTAGATAAAATACAGATTACATCAGTCTGACTTTATGTGGAAGAGACAGTTCTTTCAAGCAAATGAACCCCATCAAATGTTCTCTATTCTATTAACAACCTTTAAATCTAACTGCATCTCCACCCCTTCAAACAAAACCAAAGGAAGAAATATAAATCTCACACACTATAGAGCAGTGGTGGCAAACCTACGGCTTGTGCGACACAGCTAGCTGTTTATTAGCATTGAAAGCTCTAAAAGATTTGCCATCACTACTATAGAGATTGAGCTGAGGCTGGTCCTCGTCTAGGAGTTCCAAACCTGGAGCATTTTACAGAATTTGGGTTTTTGTTTTTGCCCTCCATGCATCCTTGTGACCCTCAATACTGGAACTCAGCCCCACAGCTTCAGGTGGTCTGCAGTGTGGACTGGAAATATGCATTCCTAACAATTCCCAGGGATGCTGACACTGCCGGAACCACAATCCGAGAAGCACTGATGAGAGGGAATGACATGGCTTTGTGATGAACACACCTGGGTTCAAATGTCAGCTCTGCTGATGTATGCAAAGCAACGAGCATTGTACTGCACACATTCAGGGCCCTCCCCTGCCCCTTCCTTAGGACACACACACAGAGGAAAGCTGTAGGCCTCCAACTTCTCCCAGCCAGGAAAGGTGAGCCCCACAGTAATGCCTGCTGCCTGCCCCAAAGCAGCATGGCTGCCGACTTACCTGCTGTGATGGAAAGACTTCAGCTTTGGCTGCAGCAGGACAAAGAGCACCACAAGGAGGAGGATGAGTGCCACAGAGCTGGCAGTGGAAGCCACGATGGACAGTGTAGGAACTCCAAGGGACGTGTGGGTTTCTTTGTCTATGGAAACAAGCCTTCGTCAGAAGAATTTGATACTGAGACATATAAAACATAGGCCCCGCAGCTGACATAGTCAAATGCCCCCTGCCTGTTGCCACACAGACATCCTACAGTAGGGCCTCTTCAGAAAAGCAGTGTAGAGTAACCTACGTATGTACACACAGTGCTCTGGGGAAGGGACCATTTCCTTCTGTCTCCTGAATAAAAAATTCCCCTCACCTACAGCCTTCGAGGGCCATCTCACTAATCTAACTCAATAACCCAAGAGATCTTACCTCTACAAACCACTCTGATCCCACCCCCAGCAACAGGCTGGTGAATATCAACCATTAAAATGAACACATCATTCCACCATCTTGAGTCCACCCACGTTTTTCTCCATGTGGTCGGACAGTTTAGAAGAACTGGGGTGTAATAGGCCCATCCTAGTCCTGAAGCTACTGTTGTATATCTCAGGTTGGTTTCTATTCTTCTTTGGGGTGTGAGATGACCACATGACACACACTTCCCTTCAGGCAGCTGGATTTTCCTGTCATGCAAGACAGGAGAAAACAGGAGGGAAGAGGGGGCTTCTGTCCAGCTGGCCTGTAGCTCCGTAACAAAACAATCCATTTCCATTCAAGGAAAAATGGAATGAAAGAGACACTAGGGAAGGTGTCAGCATTATGCTCATTGTGTCAGCAGAACACAGTCAAAGGTCACCAGCACTGGCGAGGCCAAGGCGATCCTAAACATCGAAGGGACTTGACACAGCAGAGCAGATGCCGCAGTGAAGATACAGGAGCCCTGCAGTGCCTCAGTGGAATACAATGGGACTCGCACCAGCAACCCCAATGTCTTCCACAAAGACACAAAATCCCAAAAGGAGGGAGGCTGCAGGGAAATCTGGCTATGCCACAGCACAGCCAAGGGCACCCTGCAGGGAGCATGCACCACTTCCCAGGAGGTGACAGAAAACAGAACCCAAGAGCAACCCCTCCTCACTGACCCTCATTGAGATGGCAGCTGATCTCCATGGCTGGCTTCCACTCGCCATTTTTACACGTCAGGTATTTGTAGTCCCCCTTCAACATGTAGCCTTCTGCACACAGGTACTCAATGACACTGCCTGTTGTCAGGGGGTCTCTGCAGGGTCGGGGGTGGCAGATGTAGCCACCATTTTCTGGCTCCGGGGGCAGGGGACACACTGCAAAGACAGAGAGGGGGTGGCGGCATCATGGTGAAACTATCAGTGTTTCCAACTGACAGTGCTGTTCTGAAAGACCTGACGTGAGGGGCAAAGAGCCAACTCTTAGAAAGGCTTCTGACCAGACAAACCCTGGAATTCGGGCTGTCACTGACAGAAACAGAAGTCTGGCCACTCATACCATTTCCCATTCCTTCCCTCACCATATCTTAGGAGAGCTGCCTCCATACTGAAAAGGAAATGTCTTGAGCCTACTGCAACTGTGACATGATTCTAATAAAACCTCCTAGGGCCAGGGACTCAGCTCAGTGGTGCTGCCAACTGCCTGTTCGATCTCTGGTACAAAAAACAAACAAACAAACAAACAAACAAACAAACAAACCTCGTAACATAGTAAGTCAGAGTAAAAGGAGATAAAATACTGCCAACGAGTGAGGGGCAAGTATCAGGCTCATCTCAGACATCAATGACAGAAGGAACCCCATAGTTATTATAAAAATGTGTGACTTCTGGGAGGCACTCCAAGTCCCTGGGCACCTTTCATTCTTTAACTGACAGTGGCATTGCTTGTCTCTATCTCATAGTAGATCCCACATTTTTCACCCTGGCAGAATTATCTGGTTTTAAAAGCAACTTTAAGGGCCGGGAATTTAGCTCAGTGGTTACACAGCCTGTCTCAGAAGCGCAAGGACCCAAGTTCGATCCCCGGTACCAAAAAAACCAATAAAAGCACCTTCACCCCAGGCTTGTTTGTTCCTACAACTCTGAGATAGTTATCATTTCTCCCCTTTGAAGACAAAGACATTGAGGCCCACAAAAGCAAAGTGACTTAGCCAAGCTTACAACAGGAAGAAGGCTCACTTGAGACCTGGATTCTTTCCATCGGCAGGTGCCACTCCTATTCCGTGAGAATCCTTATAAAGGATGTTATGTGTCAAGGCCACATCCCCTGCACCTCTTCAGGTGGTCAGCTGGGGATGTGGCAAGCAGAGACTTGGGTATGGTGGGGCTGTAGGGGACGGCAGGATGGGCAGGTTCCCAAGAATATCAACGTCCCACACACTTTCCAAATGTAAGATAGCCCAACTTTTCCAAAAGAAATTAAATTTTGTTTATCATACCCTATTCACCACCCTGAGTATCACAAAGACTTCTGTATGAGAATCAAAATGGTCCTTTTCTCTTCCTTACTCCCCCAACAGGCCTGGAGTGGCGGGGAGTTGTGCTGTACTGAAATGTCTGACTGTCCAAGATAGGTGCTGGCTCACTCCCACCTGCAAGCTCCACTGACTGCACTTGGTCAGATGCGCCCTGAAGGATTCTCTCCAATACCACCTCCCTCCACTCAAGAATGCTATGAAGCAGGCTAGGGTGGATACCAGGCCAACAGAAAGTGACAGCACCCTGCCCTTGAGTGGAACATCACTGAAGACAGGGAGATAGACACCATTTTAATATCATTTTATTTATTTATTTGATGGTGGTGGGGATTGAAAGCCAGGGCATCGTGTCCTGCCACTGAGCTACATCCCCAGCTGTACCATTTAAAAAAAACTTAACAAAGCCGGGTGTGGTGACACATGCCTGTAATCCCAGAACTTGGGAGGCTGAGGCAGGAGGATCAACAGTTCAAGGCCAGCCCAAACTACATAGCCAGACCCTGTCTCAAAGAACAAAAAGCTACTAACAACAAAGCTGAGAGCCAAGGGGTACAAAAGAGAAGTCTAGCAGCTTCTCTAAAACTAGAAGATGAGCCCAAATAAGAGTTCTCACCCCACTCCAGTTCTTCTCAAAGACACAGTACTGATTTGGCCACTGGCTCAGAGTCCCACACTGGAGACAAGCAGGGGCAAACACTCTTGGTGCTCTCAAGGCTGTAGCCAAGTAGTTCAGAGAGCTGGTCAGTAAACTGCTTTACACCTTCACATTTCGTCTTTTGTTCAGGGCAGCAAGCCTGCCACAGACCTCCTCAACTCTCCTCAAACTGTGTCTAGTGGGTTTACTTCCCAGGCATACTAATGCCAGGCACTCGAGGGCAGCTCCCGAAAGCAGGCAGAAACGGTGAGGGCAGTGTGTAGGGAAAAGAGATTCTCATGAAGGAAGGGAGGGAGGGAGGGAGGGCTGCTGACTCTAAGACCACTCCTGCTCTACTGCGTATTTCTACCTGTAAAACCCACAAATCCACAGAACCTTAGAGTTAGACCCCAGCAGTCACCTAGCATTTATTTTGGAAGTGAAGAAAGTGAGATCTACAAAGAAACTTGTAATTCAATTTAGTTTTGCTTTAACTGATATTTATTTATTACTCTGAATGGGGCCATGGCATTACGGCTCTGAAGAAGGATAAAAAGATAAGCCCTTCAGGCAGTTATAGCCAAATAGGGGTATGACAAGCAAATGCATACATTTATAAAACCATTTTCTTTATGGTGTCTAGGTTTTGGTTTGGTTTAAGAATATTTTTCCCACCTTGGAGGTTATAAGCATACTCTACAGTATTTTCTTGTACTGCTTTATAGATTGGGTTTTCCTTAAATATTTTTACCAAAAAAAAAAAAAAAAAAAAAAAAAAAAAAAAAAAAAAAAAAAAAAAAAAAAAAACCTCAGGGGAAATGTACATACATGGAAAAAAAAAATTCAGAAAGAAGGATGCAGAGTGAAAGGCCTCTCTCCTGTGGTGTTTCAGCCACTCAGCTGCACACTCCAAAGGCATTATACTGGCTTCTTCTTCCACACTTTTTCAAAAAATTCTGCATGAAGATTTATTCTAACACATGTCAAAGAGTGTGATTCGTGCTGCAAGGGAGGAAGTCGAGAGCAGGAGACAACACATCTTGTGTGGGGGAGATCTGGTGGCTTGGGAGGAAATGGCACCTCAGATGTGGCTCCATTTCATCAGAAAAGGAAGTGGCAGTTTCAAGCAAATGCAAGGAAGTAGGAAAGTGTAGGTTAAGTCCAGAGAATACCAAGTAGCCTGGTTTAGCTGAGATCATTATTAAGGAAAGTTTGTACCCACCCCAAATTAAAAACTTAAACAGTGATGAAAAAATTTTGTAAACATTCAAAGGGAGAGGAACCACTTAAGATTCTTAAGAAGGTTAACTTTACAAGTGCAGCTGAGTTTGACAGACTAGAGGTAGACCAGAAGTCAAGAGTCCCTTCAGATAATGTCAGCAGCACAGCAATCCTAGTATGGTAAAATAAACTCAAAACAAAAAAATGTCTATGCTTTCTCAAGAAGGTCACACAAAATAAAAGTATGTCAGGTTCAACATCATGAGGTGCCTCCCCAGGTTCAAGGAAGAAAATAAAGAGCTTTAGAAGAAAGGGTCAAAACATAAGCAAAAAAGGCAAGATCATTTTCAGATCTTCTTCCCCAAAGGGCAGCACAGGAAAGCTAGGCTGAAATCAGAGGTGAGGTGGACCCTCTCAGTGATGCCTGGGGTTAAGAGAAGGGTGAGCAAAACCCACATAGCCAACAAATCACCCAGGAGCTGCCAGAAGCCACCGTCCTGGGTAGATGCTGACAATCTGCACAGCAAGATTTCTCTGACAATTCAAAATGTGCAGAGAGAAGCTCAAGCTCTGATCTTAATCAGGAGACAAAGCCATGTGACTTAAAAATGCTACATACTTTTTTAAGAGAGAAAAGACCAAGCAGTTAACTTTACAAGGTAAATATTCTAGCTCCTCTGTGCATGCCACTGTCTCCCACTCCCACAGGCACTGGGCCTGCAGTGAGCACAGGGAGGAGGAGGGAATACTTGGGCATAGGCAACAACACAGGCCAAGTGCAGCCAGCCAGCTGGGGGTGCAAATGACCTTGGTGGGATCCCACCTCCAGCACCTCAGCCTAACACACCCCTCCAAAGCCAACCAGAACCCTTACGGGCTATCTTCTGCAGTATTTACAATATTCCAGGCGGTAAGAGACAGAGATAGGGAGCGAGGAAGGAGAGAAGGGGAGAGAGGGAGAGAATGACAGGGGCAGAGGGTGAGAGGGAAGAAAGGCAGAGATTGACCCACCTGCCCCTTGGATGACGTCTGCCCAGCATGTTGCCCAGTGCGTCACCTTCTTGCCCACTGCTCCCTCAGCCTCTTTTTCCTCCCTGTAAGAGCCCCCTCATGTATCTGAATGTCCCAAGATGGCCTTTTGAGGGAACAATAGCCCCTTCCCCACTGCGCAGGACATCAACCCTGGAATAAAACTGACTTGCTTCCTACCAATTCTTGGGTCTCAAGTATTGACTTTTGAATGGTGAGCAGGTGGACCTGAGCCCCACAATAAATGGACACTATTTTATATTTGACAGGAGAAATAAATCTGGTGTTCTATTCTACAGTACAATGACTATAAAGACGTACTGTATATTTCAAAAAGAAAAATTCAAAAAAGAACTCTGAATGTCTTTATTACAAAGAAATGATAAAGTTTGAAGAGATGGATTTGCTTATCCTGGTTTGGACATTATACAATGTATGTATACACATATTGGAATATTGTATGTTGTTTTGGATATAAGATAAGGTAAACAGTAGCTAGTATAAACAGAGAGCACACTACTTGTCCAAGTAGTTCTCTCTACATGAAGCAGGCATTTTATGGCCTCCTTTCCACAGATGAGAACAATGAAGCACAGATGGGTTGCGCAATTTGCCCCAGGACACAAGTGTAAATGGCAGAGGTGGATTCAAAGGGCACACTGCTCCCAGGCTTCCGTCCTGCTGCTAAGTTAGGATAGGCCTACTGAAGAGATCAAGACTCTAGGAAAACCTACTAGGTGTTCTGTGGCTCATCCCTGATACATGTCCTGGGGGTTGGAAACATTTAGCTATTTTGTACATGAAAGTAAAGTCATATTCTAGTATGAACTGTCTAATTCAAAGGGAATTCTCCCAAAATAAATTGGAAAAAAAGTCTCCTAGGCAGACTGGAATTAGAGCATGCTAGACAAATATGAAGAGGAAGAAAAACTGACTATCTGTTATGGTAAAAAGGT